GTTCAAGTTTGGCCAAAACATGCTTGCACTGATCGTGTGATCATTGAAACCCAGTCCCACGACTAAACATCACAATCGACGGGACACAATTTAAACAAGTTGAGGAATTTAAATACATGTAGCTTGGGAGCATGCTTACACATGGCGGAAGATTGGATATAGGAAAAAGGAAATCGGGACCCAATATAGCAAATGCAGAAACCTATAAATTGTCAGCACTACTCACCCACAAACACATACCAATGGAAGTAAAAAGGCAACGATTTATTCTCAGCGTATTCTTTCCAACACTGACTTACGATATAAAACAGGAAGACGAAAAACCGATAAGGAATTAAACGAAATTTGACAGGGAATAAACCGGTATTATGGAACAAGAACATCAAAGAATGAAGTGGTTCGGTCATCTGATGAGAGTGTCACCAAATCAGCCAGCTTCACGAGCTTACGACTCTAATACAATGTATCCCCGGATGCTAGGGCAGGTGCAGACCACGCAAAACAATGCCGGATAGCGTTATTTATAGAAGTCCTCCAAAAGAATTACAGTTCAACAACAGAAGCCACCTACACTGCCCTTGATCGAAAATTGCACCTCTCAATATAATGATGCAAGAGGAAGGATGAAATAAAGTAAAAGGATCCAATCCTAGCATACTCTGAGGACATGAGACTCACTGCAACGTGGCAGAAATGGGTAGTAAAGAAATAAAATAGAAATCCTGAACGGCGAACAGAAGAAAATAAGTATCACTAATAAGAAAACAGAAACTGGGAGACAGATGGCATCGAGGACGTTATTCGAGAAAACAGCTCGACAGTACAAACAAGTTACACGATTCTAATATGGACCATCAGTTTAAGGAAAGACATGGAGCTTAACCTTCAAGCCAATGAAGCTAGAGTACATGCTAACGTCGCTCAAAATTGTTTGAGTAAAATGGAAGAGGAAATACAAAGCACACACGTTGGGGCCCTGCAAAACCAACTGTCTACACAACACACTGGTACACCTTTACTTTACTGTTACTTTATCTGATCCCTTATACTGCGAAGTGTCGAGGAGAGATTCAGTTCTCGGACATGGGCCAGGTGTGTTGCTTTTCGGGTCGGCATATTGTTCCTTTGAAGGATGTCTTTGACTCCACCGATCAATCTTTTCTTTGGCCTTTCTTTTGCTCAGAAGCCATCAAATCGCATGTTGTAGACCCGAGGCTTGCTGTTGTGGCCCCATTCTCATTACGCGTCCAAACCATCCTATTTAATGTAGTCTCTCGATATATTTCATTTCAACGCCCACTCATTGTATTGTTTGATGTCTTGGGGTTTTTTTTTACGCTGGTAATTCTACACCCAGTAAATAACGTCTCGACATAATATGTTGCACTTTAACATTCCCATCCCATCCATTCTTCAGTTATTCCTTTAGATGATGTCACTTATAATGTATGTAGACAAGTGCTCATTCTTGATGAGATTTGCTGTTAAAACCTGATACGTTTTTACAAGGACACGTGTCCACTGCGACGGTCACAAACCGACCCTATTCCGCCCGTCTCTCGGAAAGTCGGTACACATGTAGTTGAAATGGGGCACCGTCTATTTCCTAAAAAATCAGCGAAAATCTGTGAAAAGTCCGTTTGCCTGTGTCAACAGACACGACACGACACGCTCCGACCAAAAAAACCAAAAAAAACCAACGTGTCGGTTGGAAAGCCGCTAGCTCAATTTTAGCCCGGCCGGGTTGAGACTCTAGAGCCATAGGCCCTGCCGGAAATAAAAAAGATTCTAATTCAACGTTCGGATAAAAAATTTAATGTCATATTCGTAATCAGCGCCTCAAAATTAGTAGTGTACACGTGTAAAAAAAACCTTGTTTGAATTTAATGAATGTGTATATTAAAACTTTTACCAATTTTCCTTTAAAAACACGTACATTTCTTATTCCCGCCCTGGGTTGATTGACCACGACTATTTATAGCCGTGTATCGAGGACACAGCCTTGGGACTTGTGTGTGGAATAAGAGAGCCAACAGTAGTGTTTTGTCCGAACAGGTGGACACACAATATGGAAGGAAACGATCCAACCGATTTTCTTCCTCCCGGAAAAAGATCGGGCCGTGTCACTGTGGGCGTGTCCGTCTCAGTGGACCAGTTAGGTAAATGTTCCTTCTGCAGTTACCTACTTTCTCCCTTGTTACTAGTGTTACCCATTTTTCCTTCCTGTTACCTCTCATTAAAACAATCTTGAACTTTGTTTTTGAAAAGTAAGTGTGGGATTTGCTTCCCCTCACTGCACAATAATAATGATAATGATAATAATAAATAATGGATTGCATTTATATAGCGCATATCCACTTATGCAATGCTCTATGCGCTTAACATGATACATAAATATAATGGATTTACAAATCAATTTTAAAGGTACATAGTGTTACATACTCATGCAAACACATATTCACTCACGCACGCACCACACACATATACATACTCACATACACACATACATACATATGCACATACGCACATACAAACTCACAACGATCTACAGCTTGGATGCATTCTGTCTAATCGAAATATGATGAAAATAGAAATGATTTTAGTTTCTTCTTAAAAATTTCTAGATTTTCTGCTTCTCTGATAGTTTTTGGAAGCCTATTCCAAACAAGTGGGGCAAAATATGAAAAAGAGCGTTGGCCATATGATTTGAAATTTATTTTAGGCTTAACAAGGATTGTTTTGTCACTAGATGATCTGAGCGTTCTAGGAGGCACATAGGGTGTTAAAAGCTGTTTTAGATAGTCCGGTGATAAATCATTTAAGCACTTGTAGCAAGTTAAACAGATTTTATATATGATACGCTCTTTCACTGGGAGCCAGTGTTATGCTTTTAAAATAAGAGTCACATGATCATGCTTTAGGTTTTAGTAATTATTTTGGCAGCAATATTTTGTACTCTTTGTAGTTGTTGTAACTGTTCATCAGGTACACCAGCCAGTAAGGAATTGCAATAATCAATCCTTGACAATATAAGTGATGTTATTAAAGTTTTGGTGACACCAACAGATAGATATTTTCTAATGCTCCCTATTTTCTTCAGCTGGAGATATAGATTTTTACAAAGATTGGATACATGGTATTTCATTGACATATCTTGATCTAGCACCACACCTAAATTTCTTATTTTAGTTTGGGCTGATATTTCGTGGCCATTGATGTTTATTCTGATATTGTCGATTTCATTGCATGCGCTGCTACGAAGAAATAATATTTCGGTCTTATCCTCATTTAATTTTAATTTGTTCTTGAACATCCATTTTCTTATATCATTGATACATCTGGCGATTCTATCTATAAGATTGTGTACATTGTCAGTTGTAGTGAATCCATACAGCTGTGTATCGTCTGCATAAAGATGGTAATTGAGGGCATATAAAGAAATTATTGATGACAGACTTTGCGTGTACATTGTAAAGATGACAGGACCAAGGACCGAACCCTGAGGAACTCCGTATTTTAGAGGTAACCTATCCGACACACCATTGCCAATTTTCACTGACATAAATCTATTGTCTAGATATGATTTAAACCACATTAGAACAGTACCTGATAGTAAAAATGACTTTTCCAATCTCTCTAGTAAAATTTCGTGGTCGATCTGGTATCGAATGCCGCTGACAAATCAAGCAGAACCAAAACACAGACTTTTTTATTATCGATTTCATTTAAAACATCTGATGATACCTTTAAAAGAGCGGTTTCCGTACTGTGGTGCCTTTTATAAGCAGATAAAACACAATAATTGTGTTTGATCTTAGAGTGAGAATCACAAAACTTTAACATTTTCATTGATTCTTAAATTAAGTGGCACTTTTAATCCGAAATAATTTTCCGTGTATTGTAACACTGAAGTGTTTTTTTTTTTTGTTGCTTTTTTTAAATTATCGGCCTGCTAAATAGACCTAGTTTCACCACATTAGCCCCATAAATCTTTAATTTCCAGAAACATGCTCTATGATTTCTGTTGGTAACAGGTAGACTAGTAACAGCTGGGCGAGAACATAATATTTTCCCAGGAAGCTAACACAAAAGTTGCCGTTACGCTCTAATTTGACGGAATTAAGCTCAGAAATGTCACATTATGTCTATAGATTGGTTGATTCATTTCATAAATATTATTTCGAATTTTTTTTATTAAAGTTTTTTTTTTCTAAAAAAAATAAGAATCTAAAATGTGACGTTAAAAAATGACTCGGTGACGACATGAGTGTTTCGGTTTGATTAGCAGTGTTTATGGAAAAAGCACTTCATGTAGGCTAGGCCTATCCATTGTGTGTTGTCTTATCCTCGCAATCTGTGTACACGAGACAGCAGGGCCTATAATTACGGACCTTACACAACTTCTTGGCTTACACATCATCAGTACATCAGACACTTGGCCTACCCCAAATACATGTATAACACAGAAAACAAATCATGAGTGAGGCCAACAAGACTGGCATAACAAAAACAGAATATCAGTTTTTTTTCTATGGACTGAGCGGTAAGTGATGAAATAAAAATACGTAGGTCTACAAACAAAAACAAAACAAAAAGCAAACACGGAAGCCTGAACCGTCCGGTCCTCGGAAAGGCAACACCAGGAGTCAGTGAAAGTCCATGTTATGGGACCTTGACCAAGATACGCTTTTAGAGGGTAGATCTAGAATCTATACTATTTTCTCCCCAAAAATGGCTTCCCTGAGCACTTTGTTTTCCCCTTTCTTTTCCGTTACTTTTTCCTTCAGTCAAAGTTGACAGCAATCACCTCTGTCAAAGTCCAGAGTGGTTTATTAGGCTACCATTTCAATCAAATCATAGGCCCAGTACTAGTAGTTTGACATAGAACACTATGACCCTCAACCTGTGACCCATAACCTCTTTACATTATTATTAACTCTAGAAACTGTGTCAAAAATAGTTCTGCTAAACTTATGTGTTCTTGTGCCAAAAAAGGGTTACCGTGTCATTGGATTTACCTGAAGGTGATTTTCTTCGATTATATGCAACTTGTAAAGGCTAATGAAGTAGTCTGTGTCTGATAGATGTCTAAAAGACTTCATACTTAGCCCTCCTTTAGTGCAATGGCTATATTCGTGCGCATCGCCGGACCAATAATAAAGGCTGGCCTCCCGAAATTGGGTTATTTGCGTTCACGCTTTCTCTGGGAACAGACTAACCACACCAAAGCCAGCATGGTGATCAAACTCGAGAAAGTGTTGATCAGCGACGAAGTTGATCCGAAATGTGTAAATATTCTTCAAAACAACGGAGTGGAAGTTGTGAAAAACACAAAACTCTCCAAAGAGGAATTATTAGCAGAAATACCGGTAAGCTTATTTCTGTACTTTTTGTGTTCTTTTCTTCACAAGCAGACGAAAAAGAGTAGAAACCTTGTCTAAACTTAAACGTTCTCGATGAATGGGACAACATGTGTGGCGAGTGCTGCGGATCCCCTCCTAATTCCTCCACAGAGGAGAGTCGAGGTTGTCACGTAGGCAAAAACAAGACTGCGTGAAGGGTTTCTTATTCAGATCTAGATCTATGTTGCCGTCGGGCATTAATGACGATAGCCGATATTTAAAAAAAAAATTAAGATGGACAGGGGAGGGATGTCTCGATTTCAAGATGCCCCTACTCTACTGAATTGCCACAGCAATGAATGTTTTACGTTGTGTTCAGTCTGCAGAACACGCACCTGTAAGAATAATACACAACACTGCACAAGATCTAGATATCTACACCGTTGTTTCTATGCTGTCTGTGCGGCGGGCAAGCTGGACAATAGGCCACACGTCCACATTTCTTTACCATGCTGGGGGAAAACACTGACCACGAATTTGTACTAGAGATCGACTCTTACTTTACTAACACTCTAATTCAGACTTGGACAGCCTCAGACAACCCCTTTTCCATCAGGGATGTCATGGTTTAGATCTAAATTATCTACTTTTACAAAGGTCAGAGTAACTAATACGCTAGTCTACAACAGCCTACAACTAGAAACAGGGTGAGATCTAGTATAGTATAGGGCCACCTCTATTCTCACCCGGAGTGAGAATAGTGCAGGCGAGTCTTGTGGCTATTCTCACCCGGTGCGCGTTCACCAAATTTTGCGTTCACCCTAAACCACAGAATTCTACACTGTGATAACAGAAAAATTGTAGAATTCTGTGCCGTGAACAAACGTTCCATTACAACTGTAGCCTACTAACACTAACAGCGTACAATTTTGTCTGTGGGCAGTGGAGAGAGAGAGAGAAAGAGAGAGAGGAGTAGCGCGAGAATTTCCGGGCAAAACAAAATGGCGACCTGCGTAGTTCGGCTCGATTCGAAAAGTTAAATAGCCGTAGCATCTTTGTAGACAACCAAATTAATTTACTTTTGTGTTTTAACATCATTTTTTAACTTTGTTTTGGTCAATTTGATCGTCCACACCGATAGACAGTATTCAGAAAGAGACAGAGAGAGAGAGAAGAGGGGAGGAGTTGGTCTTGCGAGAACTTCCGGGCGGGTGAGAATAGCCAGTAGTTTATTGGGAGCCACAGATCATTAAGGAATTTCGGATCATTAAACTTAGGGAGTGTCTATGTACACGGTAACTGGGCATATGTATATCTAGTCTCAGTATCTACACGTACACGTAACAAGCAAACACTATGAAATCGGTCTAAATAGAGGGTCAGGATTAAGGCTAGGGTTTGGATTAGGGATAGGGTTACTCATTACAGAAGCCCTTCCTTAAACTTAAACATAATAACTTTAGGGCCTCCGAGATTTTTCACCCTTAGCCGAGAAGTTTAGGTGTAAGACCTTTTCTCGTGAGATCAGGGGTGGGACTGAAAGAAAGCACGCTCCGTAAGGCTTCAGGGCCATAGAAACTCACGTCTCACGGTCCAGTTATGCTCACACACCAGTCTGTGTGGTGTATTTAAGATGGAATCATCTGACGAAGAAGATTTGCTGATTTTGTTGTTCCTCAGAAGGAAGCAAAAGAGACAGAGCATAGTATGGTGCAGAGAGCATATTTTGCTCAGAGAGTCCAGAGGAGAATTTCACCGGACATTCCTGCATCTCGTGGACAATCCTGATGAAGAACTCTTTTACAATTATACAAGGATGTCGCACAAGTCAGGATCACATGGGTCCCAGAGCAGAGGCCTTGCTCGGACTGACTCGATTAATCTTTTATTTGTAATCATCCATCCTGACTAGAAAATAAAAATTGCACTCTGTTGACAATGGAATCTGGCCTGCATCCAGCTCTACCGGGGGGGTGCTTTGATCCAGTCTGCCCCCGACTCGGGCCTGAAAAAAGTGAACATGCATGTTCACTTCTTCACTTCTTGGCTCACGCATGAGCTGTGACCTGTGAAGTATGAGGCGTGAGCAGAGGTCTATAATGGCCCATCGCTAGTAAGATTATGTCAGTTCATTTTAAAATATCCACTCATGCATTTAGGCGTGAGACATGAGGCGTGAGTTTCTATGGCCCGGAAGCCTAAGGAGTCAGAAGTAGCAGCAGAAAGAGTCAGGAGTATAGAGGAGCAGGGGTGGTGGGGGGGGGGAAGAGAAAGTGGAGATGAAAACAGATGATAGACAGAACATGACTAGAGCATAGGAAATGAGGTGAAAGAAGAAAATTTTTTAGAAGAAAATTTGTCGTGCTGTGAGGTTTTGATCTGGGGACCTATAGAATGGGAGATGAACACCGTATCTCAAGACCACATGAACCTGGAGTGAAAGAAAAATTATATGCTAAGACTCTAGTTAGCTCTACAAGGACTTGGGGAGACTGAGACATACATTAAATGATTAAATGCATCATCATGAGATCTCCAGATAAGTTGGTTTTTCAGGGGATGGACACTTTACTTTAACTTTAATGAATATTTACAAAATTCAGATTAAAGTTATGCTGGGAGATCAGTGGATCTTTCCTTAGCTCTGATGTTCCAGTTTTTGTATACACACCTTACTTTTTATACAATAAAAAAAATAGGCCTTAGAATACTTCTTAAACACTTGCTACGGACTGCTGATATTTCTGATTATGAACTTGCGGTGTCTGGACGACTTGCTTAAATCTTTTTTGTTTCTCTGTGTTTCTGTTACACTTAAGATGAGCATGTGTGGAATCTCCCTTTTTAAAATCTTTATATTATAGCTGTATCTTTAGGGTTCTTACTGCCAGTGCTGAAAAAGCATTTAAAAAGAGTGAGATGTATGCAAACATATTTTGGCCCTGGTGTTCATTTTATAATTATATTGTATGAAATATAATTGTGAGTGCTTGAGAGTAGTGTTGATGAGCATGTGGGAATGAAAGTAAAAATTTACCCATAGACATAGGAAATTTATCAGTTCAACAGGCCTAGTATATCAACACAAATCAGCCTTTGGCTGCAGAACTTACATTATGTGTATGGGGCAGTGTGGTAAAATCAGGCGCTCGTCAAAATAATGATAATGAAAGTAAAGAAATTGTCATTTTTCTGCTGGTTTGGGAATTTTTATATTTTACCTCCTTCAATCGCCAATATTTCGACCTGTATCCGAGATAAATGAATATTTTTTTCACCGAAAGCAAGGTAGATGGACAGGCTTTAAAGATAATACACCAATAACTCCGTATCCAAAAAAACCAAAGAACTGATGGGCTCCTGACTCCACTGCGTCGTGACACATCATACATAATATGGCAACTGAAATTGTCACAAATGAATTGTTTGAAAAAAAAAATCTGGAAGTTCAGTGCCAAATATCAAATTTTAGCCTTGAAATACCTGAAACCACTCAGATTTTTTTTTTAGTTCGGGGGGGGGGGATGCTACCCTAATACAAGGTGCCCATTGGGGGATCGGCTCTGGTTGGGACGGTTTGTTTTGTCATCCAGATTGAAGGCACAAAGCGGCTGTTGTGGCACAAGCCGATCGCGCACGACTCCTTGCCAAAAAAACAAACCCATGTGTTTTCAGGTGACGAGTAGGGCGTTCACCTACAGCCCGACTGGACCCAATCCCATCCGAAATGGGCAACCCGTATAAGTCTCCCCCCAATTCTGATTGTTAAAAACATGTGAAATAAGCAATAAAGTCTTCTATTGTAATAAATAGTCCAAATATTGTACAGTTGAACTTGCGTTAATGGAAACCTCTCTAAGGTGGAAACCGGTCATACTGAATTTCCCCGCTCTCCCCTGTTTGAATACCTTGGTAATTACCTCTACTAAGTGGAAACCTGCGCAACTCGGAAGTGGAAAGAGAAACTCCTTCCACTCAGCAGGCTTTTACCTGTCTTAGATGGAAAACGCCATTCATGCGTGCTCAGCCCTGATTTGAAGCAAAACTCCCAAGTTTGGTTCCGTCCGTTTTAATCTTTACGCCATCCTGCAAGCGAGGAAGGGAGAAGGGGTGTGACTTGAAGGTAGATGCTACCCCATTCATGTGAGCCCTGGGTGGTGCAAATTATGGTCTGGGTGATGAATTTTGGTGAAATTTTACCAGTACTTCGGAAAGTACTCTTGGGAGTACCAGCCCGGAAACTTTCCCAGGAAGACAGGGATGTGAAATTAATTTTACCATGGAAGCACTGGCAATCAGTAAGAAAAATTGATGCATGGCGTGCCATTTTATCAGATTCAGAGAGGCGAGGATAGCACTTTAGGTGACCCGCTATCCCACCGGCTGGGCCTCTGCAACCACCACTCCTTCACCTCCAAGAGGGAAAATGTAATTTTTTTCCTGCTCCCGTGTGATTCTGTCTTAGAAAAGTTCAACCAACTGTATCTCAAAAACTATAATACTTTGTGACGAATATTAAAGTCAAAATTTGTGTTAAAGTAAAAGGAATAAAAATAAACAAGAAAAAAGGGCTATACACACAGTCTGAGCATGAGATGAGAGCGAAAGTAAATTAATACCTTTCTGCCTTTTGTAGATGATTTTGTGGTTGTGTTTCATTTATAAGTGCTTGTGTTAGATGTAGATTTATGTGGGTCTGCGTGGTGGTGATGTTCGGGTTTGGGGTTCTCTAGCAGAAAGTAAAAACTTTTCACTCACTCTGGAAATGGAACATTCTGTCAAATCATAAGAGTTCGCCTCCAAGTGCCTTTTTTTAAAGTGACAAAGCTTTACTCGCTTTGTAGTTACAACTTCTTCCTTTAGTTTTCTCTTGTTAAGTTCCTTTTTGAACAAAAGGAATTAAAGAAATGTGATTACTTATAAATTTACCAAATATCTTTCTTCGCCCATCTCCTGTCTTTTAATGAAAGAAGTTGGAAAGGGAACATTTTGTACCTCGCTTTATCATCATGCATTCGTTTGCTCGGGATTGAGAGTTAAAGTAGGGCACTTAATATGGTCTTCTACTATAAGTAAGATAGGCCTAAGGTGAGGAAATTGATTGTACTTGGAAGGAGTAGGAGAGTTCAACTGAGGTCAAGGGTAAAAGCAAGGGTCATTGTAGGGCACTGAGTCGAATAGTCATTATCCTGCGAACACTTCGTAGTTAGAATAAAGATATATATATCTATATATATATATATAGGTCACGGCGCAGTGGAATCACTCCTAATCAGGTGCTTGTCAATTTTGGGGCATGTGGAGGTATTGGTATCATCTTAAAGTTTGTTCATTTGTCTTGCATTCGATGAAAAGATACTAAATTTTCATTTGGGGGTGGGGGGGGGGGGGGTAAGGTGTTGGCCTCTTATTCAATAGGTCCCGGGTTTGAATCTGGATAGCGACAGAAAATTTTCTTCTAAAAAATTGTATCCTTTCACCTCCTTTCCTGCTCTCTAACAATGTTCTGTCGCCTGCTGTCATCTTCACTCTCTGCCCCTACCCCCTCTCCTCCTTTGCCCCCTCCTCTGGGCTCCTGACCCTTTCTGCTGCCTTTTTACCACTACTCCTTGGCTCCTTCTTACTGCTGCCTTTCAGCTACATCCCTGATATTCTGGTAGGAAAGAACTACATCTAGTCTTCTTTGACACTGACGAAAAAAATCGGAGGTCCCATGTGCAAGTTGTACACGTTAGATCCCTTGATGGTCCAAAATCGATAAAAGAATAGGCTGTGGTCGCCACCCTAGCAAAATTCAAAATTTCCTACTGAAAATTTTTAAGTGTTATATTTAATGCACTCATTTGACCTTATGCAGTTGCGAGCGCCGTAAAACACTTAACAAAAAAAAAAATGAATAGAATTGGAGATATTTCTGGTTGAAGAAGGTGGGGGTCACCTGGTTTCAGTGGTAAAATTATCAAGAAAATGGCCGCCAAAGTTTGGTTACTTCTATAGCTTTAGAGCCCTTGGGAAATGAAAATTTACATATATTTCTGTGCCTTTAACCCTATCCATTATCCACATGTCGTGTTTTACTATTGTATCCATACGACGTGGGGAACTCTGTGCCACCTCTTTCCAAAGAGGAAATTTACTCGTTTATCTGATCCGTACGCTTAGCAGGTTGTCAAAATGATTTTTTGAGAAATACTGAAAGTTTCAAAGAGATCTTCGTACTCTAGAAGTATTCTAAAATGAAAAGAATACAACCCTTGAGGTACAAAATGACCCCAGGGCGTAAGGATAGGGTTAATCAACATTTTTCAGGAAAGTCCACACAGAAATTTGTATTTAAATATAGACATAAGGTGTTAAGCAAAAAAAAACCCCAAATTGGATACTCGGCAGAAAAATGCTGTTTTCTTCGATTTGATTATTTTGACAAGAGCTTGATTTCACCATTACTCTCACATAATATGCAGAGAATTATCTTAAGATCATCTATGTATTTTTGTTAGTCCTAATTGTAACAGCTAAAAATGATTTAAAGTAAGATAGAAAGTTGTTGGTTTTGCATGTGCGGGAATTTTTTTTGGTCCCTGTTTGTGCATGGACAGTGAACGACTTTTTGCCATCATGAAAGCCTCTATGTTTGTCTCTTTTTGTATTATGACAAGCAGGATGAAAGCCAGCACAACATGCTTCTCATAAAAACAATGAGCTGTTTTGTATTATATTGTTACTACTTTAATTGTACAGTCATAAAATCTGTTAAAAAAAAGAAAAATGCTGACCGACTTTTTTCGATTTTTAAAGGGATATATATATATGATATTTACTTGATGAAATGAAAAATTACCTGGCTCTATTTGACTAAATTCTTATTAGATTAACTAGGCTGAGGTCATAGTGTAGATTGTCTGGAGAGTAACTTGAAAGACCTGTTTTGTAATTTATAAAGGAATTTTAAGTAAGATTGGTTACATTGGGAACTTGACAAGAAGTTTCAAGAAGGTTTGTTTGAATAAACGCTGGTTGCATTTCACTTTGGTTTCTTTTTCATAGCAACATTGAAATTTATGTAAAGGGAGGTCATTAATGTTTCTCGAATAAATTTGACCCAAATGGAATGTGTACATTCTGAACAAGGGAAATGTTTGTGACTGATGATTTTGAATCTGTAGCAAAGTGAGTGTGGAACCAGTGACTTAAATTTGTTGTCTTAATTGTATATATATACATATTGGAAATATCAGTCTCACTTTAAATACTCTTATATGTTGTTTTTTTCAGAAATATGATGGGTTGATTGTTAGGTCAGCAACAAAAGTAACAGCAGATGTCATCAATGCTGGAACAAACCTCAGGATTATTGGCCGTGCTGGCACTGGTGTGGACAATATTGACACTGAGGCTGCCACAAGGAAGGGTGTCATAGTCATGAAGTAAGTTAATTGAGGGAACTATTCTAGCTGACTGTAAATTTGTTGTAATAGGGGGTGCCCATTAGTGCGATCGGGTCAGGTCGGGTCATTTTCTGGTGGTTTCAGTGCACACTACAACCCTGGCACGATTGTACCCGACGACCTGGAAGTTAAAGTAGAGAAACCTTTAACCTCAATGTGTTCCAAGGCTCCTTTCCGCAGTTCCCTGTTGCAGTGCTGCGGCAGTCTGAAATCCCATAAACATCGATGACTTTCTGTCATCAAAGATCATACATAACAAGACAGTTCACCCTGCCAAAAAAGTGTCCGCAGAAGTCCGCGCATTGGTTCGGATGGCGCTGCAGTCTTTGTTTTGAAGCTCTCTTTCGTTTCTCTAGAAGAATATTGGAATAGCACATTAGATAGTTTTTGTTTTTCACATAAGTAGGGTAACTCTGATCGCAAAGTCCGCTCTTTTTTGAAGAGGGTGCCACCAGATTGTGAGTGTCAACATGGACACTTGACTCAGCCTTGTTATGATGGGCTGCAAACCACCTGATCGCGCGGCTTGCAGGCCTGAAAACAAACGCGCTTGTTTTTGCAGGTCACCGACCGAGTCAGTCAATTTTGTGCCACAATGGCTGCTTTGCGCCCTCAATTTGTCTAGCCCCGACTATCAAATTGACCCCACCCAACCCAACCTGACCTGACCTGACCTGATCTGATCGCACTAGTGGGCACCCCCTATAAGTGCTTATCTATTCACTGTCACTTCTTTCTCTGCAGCGAGACACAGTTACAGTACTTTATGTAGGACATATCAACCATTCATGCGTCACGTATCACTACTCTATCGTACGTTCTCCTGGCTGAAGGGTGAAAGTCCGTTTTGAAACAGCTAGATTGATAATAAGGAAAAACAAAAAGTCTTTACTTTGTTCCATATGATTAAATTTCCAATATACTGAAAGTATAATATTATAGTGGAGTCTCAGATGTATTTTGGTGCTCACTTGTGAAATTAGCATGCATACTGAAATATTCAGGTTTTCAAAGCTTTTTGTTCGTTCTCAGTGACTCGATGACTGTTACAGTAGATCCAGCTGGTGTGCAGATTATATTATCCAGCTCCACTTGTAAAAAGTATCACATGAAAATTGCATTGAAGCATATCATCCATGAATTCGTGTAAATTTTGTGTTTAGTTAGAAGTAGATGACTCTACAGAATTATTTGAGGATGTCCTCCATCGTGCAGAGGAGGGGGGGGGGGGGGGGGGTTGACTCCTGACTTCTCCGTGGTCATAATGTTTCATAGGCTATACTAAGCGTGTCCGTTGCAATTTTCATAGGTGAATAAATCTCAGTATATCATTTAATTTAGCTAGCTTTTAATTTTAAGAGTACTGTGAATGTTGATATACAGATCAGTTATTTGCACTAAATTTTTCTTGTTGTACTGCAAGTAATTAATTTCAATTTTGATTTTACAGCACCCCGGGAGGAAACACTCTCAGTGCCGCTGAACACACGTGTACACTCATCATTGCTCTCACAAGGTAAGCTGTCTCGATATTTGACCTTACTGAATGGCTGTAGGATGTCTTTGTGTTTTTTGTTTGGTACGTCTACTTAAGCCAGGCAGCTGCATAACAAAAAAAAGTGTTGGGAGTGGAATCCCCGGATTCAGAGATCAAGGAGAAGGCCACATAGAACCTGGAGAAGAGTCTTGGAGAATAATCATCTCCAAAAATGTGGGAACACATGGAATAATACCAGAAGCCTTGCCGGGGAAAGGGAAATTTGGAAAGTGTTTGTGGCCTGTACCCTGATCAAGGGTGAGAAAAGCATTGATGATTGATGACATATTTGCTCCCTTGTAAGGGGAAACATGGCTTGTTACTTTCCGTGACAGACTTTTGGCCTTCTATCGTCCATCTACATCCAAGACAAAGGATTTGGGCTTTGGGTCAACAACCTCTATCCCATAAACAAAAAACATAGGTACAAAAAGGCTAACAAGGACACTAATTAAGACAAACACCAGTGGGCAATAAAAATTTTTTTTCTTAGACAATGGTACTTTTTTTTGGTATTTTGACTAGTGGTTTCATGTAGTTGTTGCTAAATAGCAAAAAAGTGTGTGTGTGTGTGTGGGGTGTTGGCACTTTTGAGATCCTTTACTTTAAGGACCATCTGTTACAGGTCTTAATCCTTGACGTTTTATGGGACTGAAAAATTTCTATTCTACCTTAGAGGGGTAATTGATGTCAGTTTTAAAAAAATATTTTATTTTTCGACTTTCTCAGTAGAAACCAATCTTGGCAATTATATTCTTTTCATTAACAAACCTGTCACAAACTCGGAACTCCTATGAGATTTTATCTAAGTAGTTACTTTTATAGAAGTATCTTACACTTGCCTAGTTTTTTAAAATGCTTTTTGTAATGCACTGCAGTTTACAGTGCCGACTGTACAACATAATATAATCTTCAACTTCGCAAGATATGTAGTACTCGCCAAGAACAGTGTCATTTTTTCTTTTTGTATCCCATATACTTGAAGCTTCAAGTTTCGATTTTCTTTTGAGCCTATGTTTTCTAGGTACGCATGAAGTCTGCTGGTGACATAGGGTATGAAGTCTCCTTCAGTACCTTTTGTAAACTAAGAAAGAGTACCAACATCTCTTGCAGAAGTTTTATAATGAAATTAGAGAAATAGATTTTGAATGTTTTTTTTTTAAAATCTTGGTTTTGGATAGTACAACAGGGTTAGTTTTCACCCATGCTTTGTTCTGTAAAGGCTGCTAATAGTGTTTGGAATTTCTGATTAAAAAAAAAAATTTCAGGAACCTTGGTGCTGCTTCTATGTCTATGAAAGAAGGCAGGTGGGATCGTAAGAAGTTCATGGGCTCAGAGCTCTATGGAAAGACCCTTGCCATCATTGGACTGGGTAGAATTGGCAAGGAAGTTGCCCTGCGCATGCAGTCATTTGGCATGACTGTAAGTATTTTTTTCTTAAAAAGAGATTTTAAACTATTTTGTACCTCCCTTTTTGGCGTTGTATTTGAATGTTTTATTTTTAATGATGAAAAAAGGTAAGTAAAATGCAGATAAAAGGGAATGTCAAGTTGAAGTTCTGGTCTTGCATCCCCTCTGATACAAGGTTTAATGAGTTTTTACTTTTTTATGCTACCATGCTCACAGAGGTTGAGAAAACTAAAGTATCATGATCATTGTTGGTCACAGGATTTCTTTTATATTTGTGAAATGGAAATCGTCTATTATACCTAATTTTTCTACTTTTGCTTTGACCTATAAACTCTTTTTTGGTCTTTATATGTAGCCGTGTTTTAAAGAAGGTAGACAAATCCTTATGGAGTTGGAAACTGATGGGGAGACATTGGTTCTTGATCTGTTACTTATTATCATCAACTGCACTTTGTCACTGTTTTGGTCCTTATTTCTGTACCACTCTTCCACTAGCTCTTGTTGCAAGGAAATGTACTTTTAATAGTTAGTTGTTTTTGATAAGTTTTCTTTCACAACCGCCTCCTCAGACCATTGGATTTGACCCAATTGTCAGCCCTGCTGAAAGTGCTGAGTTCAACACGGAGTCGTTGTCCCTGGAGGAGATCTGGCCCCGAGCAGACTTCATCACAGTGCATACACCCCTCATCCCTCAGACTAAGCGTGAGTCTCGTCATGTATTTGCTTTTCAGAGGATGGGGAAAATTTCTGCTCTGATAACTACATTTGGTATCTTCCTAGATTACAATGTGGATGGCTTTGTTGGAATTCTCAGTGGGATATTCTTTTAACGAGGGTTGTTTGAGGTTTTAAAGCTCTCCATATGCACTTGCTTTGTTATTGAATATTAATATTATGTTGAAAGCTCCTGCTCGGTGAATGGACTTGCTGTGTTTTGTACAGAATTTGTTGTAACCGTATTTTTAGTTACTTGAACTTTTGTGTGAAAAGTTTTTATAGTGTCCATCCTCATAAATTTATTACTATTGGTCTTGACATTTTGTCTGGGATGATTCATGTATTTTTACTCATCATATCGTACTCTACTGTGTACAAAGTATATTTGTTTGCACAAGCTTGGATACTTTGGGAGTCAATGATGAAAACTTATTGCACATGTGAAAGATTTAGATACATGTAGCTAAAAAGTCAGTATGATTGAATAAACCCTGAGTACTGGTGAATAAAAATGAGGTTCGGGTTTATTTTGAAGTAGGGGGTGGGGGGTGAATCTCTGCTTTTGAGTGACCTTCAATTCCAAGAGTGCATTAACATTTCAATAAATCTTGAAAAATGGTCAATAATGCATCTTAGCATTTAATCAATTCTTTAATGTCCATTCTCTTATATGTTAGTCTATGTATGTTGCTTTATCTATTTGTTGCTTCTTTTAGTAGTGTTGCAAGCAAAATGTATAAAAATGTAAGGATTAGAGTGCCCCCCCAAAAAAAGTCATTCTGAGCTGCCTCGGTACTGGTGTGCAAGTTTTTGTCTTGTAGATTTTAATTGAATAACAAGTAAAAATAATATTTGTTTTTTCTTCATTTCAGATCTCTTGTGTGATGCCACCTTTGCTAAGTGCAAAAAAGGTGTCAAAGTTGTGAACTGTGCGCGAGGTGGTGTTATTGAAGAAGCTGCCCTACTTAGGGCTCTCGAGTCGGGCCAGTGTGGCGGTGCTGGTCTTGATGTGTTTGTGGAGGTGGGTGACAATGGAATTTTAAAAATCTATACTTAATGTATAAAAATTATTTTGCATGGCACTAAATGAAATCTTGTATTGTAGTCTTCTGTCATTTTCGGTTCACTCTGTTTAGTCTTCTTTGATTGCCATCGATTGTCATCAAATATACTTTTCGATATTAAAAATGTTAAATCACTAAGTTTGATTCTTCAAGCATATCTATAAAGTTCAATTTTAATAATTGTTCATGACTTTTTTCCCCCATTATTTGTCTTTTGTGTTGAGAAAAATAATTGATGGTTGTTTATATGTTACTTTAGGTGATGGAATTGCGCATGTTCTTCATGTTCAACATATTGCTTTAAACAGTGCTTCCACTCTTCCGTATTTTTACGAAATCCAGTTCCGTACTTGTCCCTCCATCGTTATCAAATCCCTCCGTAAAAAAACTGCGACAGCGCAGGACTGCCAAAATTCCGTACTCGCCTTCGTATCGTCTTGTATAAGTTACGGATATTTACGGTAATTTAATTCTCTCGGCAACAAGTTAACGTAGAAACCTGCCAAATTGCGCATTTCCTGCAATCAGACATTATACCGCTATGTCCCAGTCCCATGCCTTCATTGCGTGTTGGTCGGCAGTACATTTTTTACCTGCTGATGGATCAAAATCTGGCGAACCTTTTGTGCCAACTTCCTCCTTTCTGTCATTCACTCATTCCTTCTGTCTATCTTCGGATTGTTGCCGCGGCTGGAAAATCTGCACGTTGATCAAGACTGATTTTGATCTTAGACAGAAAATTACTGTAGGAAAGAAACTTTTTTCACAAATTTTATCTAGATCTAGAGAAATTATCAATGCGAAGATTCTACGGCACGTGAACGCAATATAAGGGCCGCAATGAAAGAAATTTATGCTGATACACGGGCGTGCTCACTACGGATGGGATCGGCCGATTGCGCTGATCGCCCGACTCGGTCGCACAACCGTGTTTGCTTTGAAGCTGAAAACAAACACGTTTGTTTTTGAGGCGATCGAGTCGGGCGATCGGCCCGCGCCCGATCCCGTCCGTAGTGAGCACCCTGTATAAAATCAAGAATAATTCGAAGTGGTGTTCCGAGGTTGTGACAGGCGACTTTCAGACATGAAAATTTAGAAAAAATGTGGGTATACGCTGCGCAACCGTATTTTGAAGGTACATCTATTCATTATTCCCAGGTTTGCCTCTTGTCAATGGAGCGACTACAAATTAATTGAATTATAGTAGCAATGAAAGGGGAACCTGCTTTTAAACATTTCCAGCATTGGAAAGATATGCTGGTGATGAAGTCAAACAAGACAAAATGTTGGTGAAAAAATAAATATTATGGGCTGTTGGCAATATCTTCAAACAGACTCCCAAATGCCATTTTCTACCCTCTAAAACCAGACCCCCTGCAGAATTTTCCTTACTTTTCAGCTTCAGCTGGTGGAAGCACTGTTTAAAGAATACCCTAGATGTTTTGTAAATTTGACTTCTCTTGTGCTCAGTAATTGTTAAGAAAGATTCCTGTTGGCACCACATAAACAACATTCAGCTTATTAAAATTTCACCACTTCACTTTCACCAGGGCTGCCCATCATCACGAATTTGGCATAACTATGATTTTTATTCAGTTGTACAAACATAGGATCATGCGATCCCTGATTCCAATATTATATTTTTTCTTATATTTCGACTACCAAAACCCACTGCCAATCAAGGGGAGAAAAACTACCAGATTGGACAGTCTAGGTGACTATGTTACATACCAGCTGTCTAACTTTAACAGTTTTAACACCCTCTCTGCATTGAGCCCTTGTCGTTGCTCAGTACCTCTTTGCCTTTTGCAAAACAAAGCCAGGAGTAAAGGAAAACTTTAGGTTGACAAGGTGTTAGAAAATTCCTGCCCTTTTGTGTTGTGGGTGACAGCCTAGGCCAATGAGAGAATTTAAAAATAGTGGATCATTGTTTGAAACTTGAAACAATTAGCTACATAAAGTATGTGGGTGCTCTGTAATTCAAAAGATTTCTTTTGTTTATGCAAGCAGTACCCCCACCCCCTTTCTTCCCTTTTTTCCTACTCAACAATGATGAGCCTGCCAAGACCTTTTTTTTCATCGTGGCTTTGTTAATGTTACATTTATACTTAGAAACAACCCCTGTCCTTGACACCCTGGGGAAGAAGACTATACATGGCCATGTCACGAATTTCTAAGCCAGATTACTAATTTTTTATTTGTTGATTACTAAAACTTGCTTTTAGGTGGGCAGCCCTGTTAGACTGTCTTGTATTCTATGGTGTGAACTTGCAATGTGGCCTCATTTTTTTTGCTGACAGACTACATTCCATCCTTTTTTTCATCCTTGTCAACTACTCAGGAGCCACCCAAAGACTACACTTTGGCCAAGCATCCCAATGTGATCGCCACCCCTCATTTAGGTGCCAGCACCATCGAGGCCCAGACCAGAGTAGCTGAAGATATAGCCCAGCAGTTTGTAGACCTGGCTCAGGGGAAATCTCTCTTTGGAGCTGTGAGTTTTTCCCCATCCTTTGTCATCTGTTGTTGGTCTCTTCAGATTGTAGTAGTATGAGAGCTCTGTTTTGTCAACACTTGATATGCCTATTGTAGATGTACTGCTAGTATTGAGCAAACACGTGCAGTGTCAGTATGATCATTAGCTGGTGTTGCTTCGTAGGTCCTTTCTTTTTTTTTGTCTCTCTGTTGTTTCTGTTTGGCTTGTTTCTTCCAAATGTGAGGCAGCATGGTGGAATCAGGCTCTCGTCAAAATAATAATGAAATTGAAGAAAACAGCAGTTTTCTCCCTGCTTAGCAATTTTTATCAAATTTTTGTTTTTTTGCTCAATACCTTTTATGTCCGTTTACAAACACATTCCTTTGAGGAGTTCACCGAAAACGTGGATTAAAGGCACAAAAACATAAATTTACAGTTTTCATGGACTCTCCAGCTTTGGAATTTACCTAGCTTTGGAGACCATTTTCTCGCTAATTTTACTTCTTAAACCAGGTGACCCCCACCTCATTCAATCCAAAATATCTCCACTTCTGTTTAAGAGGGATGGGTAATTTTTTCATTGAAAGCAAGAAAAATGAACAAGCTTTAAGATGATAGGAATAACTCAATATGCCCAAAAATTGGCGAGAGCCTGATTCCACCTCGCTGCCTCACATATATTGAATTATGAACAGTGTCGAGTCAGTGTGCTTCATTTTTACGCATTCAGTTATACTTTTGGAATCTATGATACCAGGTGTCTTAACTTTTTATCTCTGGCAAGCCACTACCAGCGGCTCGCGGTCGGAACTACTATGCCGGTCACAGCTGGCAGCGGCTCGGGCACATTCCTTTATGATGGCTTTAATATCAAATTACCTGAAGCAAATCTCTTTTATCGGGAGTTCATTCATTAGATGAAGAACTATCAAAATAGGTAGACTTGTTTTCATTAATGACCCATTTAGTAACGTCTTTGAAAAAAAAAAGTAAAAAAAAAAAAAAGAAAAAAAAAGACCTTATAAAGGGCAATAACTCGGTTATCTTTGCACCAATACCAATCAAATTTTGATTTAATAAAATTCAACTGAGTTATTTCCCTTTTTATGGTCCTCTTTTTATGTAAACCCTTTGTTTTGAGGAAAGACTTTGGTGAAAAGGAGTTCAATTTAAAAAGTGGAATTTGAGTCTGAAAGTGTTTGTAGATTCTGATGAGATCAATGCATTATATTGAAGCTGCCAAAAACAGTTGCTGTTCGTGAATGTCCACTGAAGTTTTTGTAATATCTTTTATTTTCTAGTTGTGTTGATGTTGCTTTCCATTTCCTGATTTATGAGGATACACAACTTTTATATATTTTATTGCTTGAGATGTAAGGTGGAAAGCCTTATGGTGTTTGTGATTATTTCAGATTAACGCTCCAGCTCTTGCGAATGCTCTGAGTCCCGCTACACAGCCGTGGGTGCAGCTGGGCGACAGACTCGGTGCTGTAGGCAGCTTGCTGTCCAAGAACATGTCCATCACCAATGTAGAGGTTGTCATGTTTGGTACGTTGATTTTAGTGAATCAATACTCAGAACTTTTTAGTCTATCAGTATTGTTAAATGTTGCCATCTGCTCAAAAACAGTATTTTGTAATGGACTTTGAAAGTATACACGGAGTCTTCGGGTTTGTAAAACGTTACATCAAGTATTTTATTTATGTTTTTTTGTAAATGGATGCGTGTTCTTTTTGTTCTTTTTTATTCACTCCTTTTAAAAAAATAAATTGAAAAATATTTTACTGCTCTTATTGCAATGCTTTTGAGATGTGTAGTGAGTGTTTTAACACTTCGCTACGTATTATATTGGGCTTGTGAACAAATTTTTTTTTGGGAGGGCGAAATGAGTTGATGACTAGTGTGCAGTTCAAAGGTCTCTGGGGCCACAAAGTCAAATAAATATCAACATATTATACACCGAAATTTTCAGTAGGATTTGTAGAATCCATCTGTAATGTTTATTTGTGTTTTTCTCAACTTCGGTTCCTGTAAGAGGCGATTGCGCAACACAATTTTGCTTGGATGTGGATAAAATTTGAAAATGAAAAATTAATCATCTTTGGTGAAACTCAAAAAATATGTTTGCACTTTGTCAATTGATACATCAAAATATCCATAAAATTTTGTTTTTGGTGCTCATATGACCTTATGCAGTTGCGAGCACCCAAAAACCTCTGCTAAAACAAACAACAAATTTTATTTGTTTAAAATAATATTCAGAATTGTGATAGCTTGTCTTATTTTACATTGAGATTTTTTCTTTTCATAGGAGAGCCTTTGAAGAAAGCTGGAACTTTCCTTATTGCATCAGTCATGGCTGGATTCTTGAAGACTTCTGCTATTGACAACGGAGACCTTGTTCCTATCAGCTTGAATCTGGTCAACGCACCTATTTATGCCAAGCAATCTGGAGTAGTTGTAAGTGCCTTCCCTGGCAAATTTTTATAAGGCTGTGTGTAATTTGTGGGTACAGAGAAAGTCCTTCAATCAATTTCATAATCAGGTCAAAGGTAATATTTTTGACATTGAGATTGATTACAGTGGAATTTTAAATTTTATTTTCATATTTGAATTGAAATCGGAGAAGACACAAAAGTGGTGGTGTTACTGAGTAGCAGGGGACGGTGGCGATATTATAAAGGTATGTTTGACACATTTTCATAGATAAGTGTTAAGATGGCTGCACTGGCTTTCCTCTGTCTTTTCCAGACACGATATTCCTACCCATCATCAGGCTATTTATTTGTGTTGGATATTTGTAGTATCTGAAATAGGAAACCATCTACCGTGGCTGAGAGCAATATAAAACATGAACTTGATCCACTTACTGATGGCTTAGTAGGTTGAGCTTAATCTGCCACCTGGTAGTTTTTCGTAAGAATAACTGAAGTCTGAATTATTTTTCTTGTCCTTACAGTTTATTTACAGTTGTGTTGCATTTAACGTATATCTATTCATGAGCAACTTGCTGGCATTCTTGTCCTTACAGCTTATTTACAGTTGTGTTGCATTTAACATATATCTATTCATGAGCAACTTGCTGGCATGCAAAGGCTGTTGTTAGCCCCAAATTAAGTCTCACACCTTATTTTTCAGTGGCTAGGTATTAGCACAGTCACATAATATCTGCTTGCATACGAGAAGTCTTATGCGTTGCCAAAGAGGCATGTTAGAGTATTGATAGTGCTTATGACAAGATTTTATTTTTGTGCAGATTTAATGTGATTCCATGCTTCTGTTCACAGACAACCTCGACATACAAAGAAGGCTCTGACAGCACATACGTGCGTATAGACCTGCAGGGAGCCGGTGGAGAAGTCCTTCAGGTGTGTGGCACCGTGGCGGGGTCAGAGTGTGAACTTCTTTCTGTTCAAGGATGCGCCTTTGGAGTTCCTGCCAATCTGTCTGGCAATGTGATTGTGTACAGAGTGCACAAGGAGATTCCTTTGGCTGATATTATCAGTAAGTTAATGTAGCCTTAGTGAATAACTCACCGACTGCTGGGGGTTGAAATTCCAATTTGGTCCCGACTGCTGACTTCTCAAGGGGGTTAAAGAACATTTATTGTCAGATAACTATTCAAAGTAGACTCTTGGAATTTTCCCCAATTATCATTTTTATATTGGTCAAAACAGCTATTCAATAGGGGTCACACTTCTATTTGTATGATTATTTGAAATATTGCAAAAATAAACTCAGAATTACTTGAGCTATTGGTTGAGAAAGTTCATGAAGCAGCTTCAAAGGCATGTTAAAATCTTTTTTACAGGATAATTGGGTTCTAAGCATTCTAAGTCACTTTTATGACCATGTGTTATGCTTTGTTCAATATTAAAATCTATTTAACGAAAGGAATGGTTTTTCATTTCGAGGCTGGACTATGTTTTAATTCAATCTAAAATCACAAAACAGTGGGCCAGATCTGAAAAAACCTGTTGCAACTCTCTCACCTAAAGAAAAAGCCGTCGAAAGATACACTATTGGATCTAGGGACGTGACTACAAACTTAAATGGGCGTTGAAACCATTACGTTCCCTTTCTACAGCTGCCGAGACAGATCACAGATTGGTAAATAGTGTAAAAACAATGAAGGAAACTAGACTAGCAGGGGTGGGGGTTCACCGTTTTCCGTGTATGTTTACGCCTACCAATGCAGAATTGGTAATGGCTGTCAGTGAGTTAAGTTTTCTGGGTATGTTTATCTTTTGATGGATGCAGCTTTTGATAGGTTAGGGATTTCATGTGGTGCTTTTGCATTTAAGCACTAATGTATATGATGGTGTAAAAGTTTCATAAGAACATCTGTAAATTCATAGCCTTTTTTCTCTTCTGCTCTGAAGTTACTGAATGCTTCCCTAAAGAAATATAATTGTGAAGGAATAACAAGTTCTAAAGTATGTTTACCTTTTTCATCCCGTGTTTATTCCTTGCAAAGATCCGATACAGGTGGTAGGTGAGATTGACGTTTCAATTTTAGTGAGGGGCTGTGTAATGAATTTGAACTGTGTTGTTTTGTTTTAAATTCTCAACTGGAATAAAAACCAGGGATTCTGTTCCATCCTCAAAATGGATTTTGTTGATACGTTTTTTTACTGCAATCATTGTATACTGGCCACGTCTTTGGGCGTAATTAGATGAAAGAGGCAGGTTAAGTCAAATGGCGAAAGTATAAATTGGTAATAAAAAACAGCCGTTACCTTTGTATGTGTAGTAAGTAAAAGAGGCAAAGACCGGTTCTGTCTCACTTCTTTAACTCTCGATTGGGCCCTCTGACGTGGAAGTTTCAGTAAAAAGGTATTGGTTGGATTTGTAACGCAAGTGACAATCCCTCTGATTTGTCTATGGCAGCTCCCAGCTCTGAATGCTACACTCTGTGATTACTGTAGTGATGGTGAGTGAGTAAATCATAACAAGCTTTGTTTTGTGTTTTCAGGTGCCGCAGCTAAGGATGGAGCTCAGGTGAGAGCAGTGTCCACCTCCGAACTGAAAAACTCGCAAGCCTTCGGTGTGCTCAGTCTGAATGCTCCTGTCTCACCTGGTCTGACCAACTTGAATTCAGTCGTCAGCGTAGCGTACCCAGCCTCCCTGTAGTTCTCTCGACTTCTAGTGTCTCAGACGTATCTTTACAAAAATGTTTTATGAATTGTATTAAAAAGAATATATCTGCTATGTTTTTTCCGCTTTGTTGGGAATGCGGTTTGTTTTGGTGTAATTTTTTGAAAGACCACTTCTCTGGAAATGTCAGAAATTTTGAAAGTGTACGATCATTTATGTCCCTTTTGTACATGTAGTGTCGATGTTCCTCTCTCCACTCAATGCCCTAATGGGAAGTTTCTGTAAATTTTACTACTAAATCATGATGCGCCAAATTGTTACTGAAACGAAAATAAAAAGTTTATGTGCCTCTTTTGATCTGTGAATGACAAGGCGAGTATCAAGACAGTGTGTGCTACTCTTGTCAGGATGAGATTTGTAGTTTGTTATTCAGACAAAACGAGGACTTATAACATTTGCGGTGTTTGAAAATCTGAACAAATTATATTTGTAATGTGTGCAGCACCAATGTTTTGAGGGTTGTCTAATCTTTTTGAAAGCTCAAAAAAAAATTGTGACTGAACTTGGATTTGTTTTTGTGTCATAAAAGGTTTTTAAAGAGGGTATTGTTTAACCTTAAAAGGTAACAAATGCACAATCAACCCTGTGTTATCAATATAGAATGTAGGTAACAATATGGGTTGTTCAAGTCATTTTGTGATGTTTTGTCAGCACTTAATCATATGGTGTACAGGAAGCCAGCAAGAACTCTGTGCATGGCACAGTGAAGGAGATATTGCCAACACCTTGGAATGTTTCATTTTTTATCTCCCTTGGTTCTGCTAGTCTGTCACTTTGCTTGTCATCGTTGATGATGAATTTAAATCTGGTAACTCACTAATAATACATAATAATTATCAAATACTCTAGTAATTCCAAATGCAGTTCTGCTGCACAAAGTCTTTAAATGACAAACTTAAATCAGGTAACTCACTACGGGACGCAGTACATTAATAGTCAACACCATATACTTGAGTAATTCCAAATGCAGTGTGCTGCACAAAGTCTTAAAATTTCTCTCTGTCATACTTTGTGTCAAGATCTGCTTTTAGATTGTGGGTTGTGTGAGTGAAAGTTGAAATGACCTCTGTACGCAATATGAATGCTTGTTTCAAATGTTGTAGTGTGATCAATGGACCATAAGTATTCTTAGGCCACTTTGTTGAAAGGAACATTCCTCATTGTTTCATCCTCCCCCCCAGTTTGTGTATAAGAGTAAAACCTCCCTGTGCTTTCTTCTCTTTTGTGAGGCAGTGCCATGTGTGCCGAGTGGCAACCCAGGTTTTTATGAATCCCCTAAGGGGCATTAGTGTACCTGTGTTGTTTGATGGGTGTTATAACACAAGTCATCCTGCCTCTTAAATCATTGTACTCGGCCTATTCTGTTCTTTATGAGATTATAAAACTCACTGGGCGGTGGGGGAAAATGATGCTGGTACATCTTACTTGCAATCAAATTCTAAAAATGTGCAGGAAAATCCTGTATCATTCCTAGTTTTGAACAAAATTGTTACTGTTACTGTTAAGCTGAGCAACAGGATCTTTCACACACCTCAAGTTGCTTTGTATCTTGTGTCCGTTTTGAATGTTAAATGATGGTAAAAAGTTATTTTTGATGAAGGCTTGAAGGTTCGTTTGAGATCAATTCTCTTTCTTCCTTGTTGGTGAGGGTAACTTGAGGAAGGAACAAATGGAAGAATTGTGGAGTGAATGGAAGAGCAGATTGTTGAGGATTGCCAAGCCAAAATGCTCTGTGTACACTGTATTGACTATAGTCATTATGTAATTGCAAGCTTGAGAATTTGTACTTATTTTTTTGGTGCTCAATGAAATGTCAAGTAATTTTTCAGTGGTTTTTCATTCAATAGCTCTAGCAACACATCATGCCCTTACATCTTGGATTTGTAATATCTTTGTTCAATCTTGGTTAGTCTTTCACCCAGTGACTATTGCCTTTTAAAAAGAGGTGTGTTTACAATTAGGCCTCTATGGTAGGTGAGCTAAGTTGTCGGTGAATCATAGAGGAATAGCGATATCATATTTGTTGACAACTGGTGATGTGTTTTAGAAAATCATGTTTAAAAAAAACATAATTTCACTTTATACTGTAGGTTATTTTTCTTTGATGCACTTTATTCTGTGTGTCATAGATATTTTTACTGCTGGTTTTCTAGTATTTTGTGTTGGTCATTGTGTCCTTAACTCTTAACCAAGTCAGTATATGAAGACTACTGCCACATCGGTATGTTCATACAGATCTAGTTGCGTATTTTGCATTTTCCTGATAATTGTCACAGTCTGCCTTTGTAAAGAAGTTTTAAAGTGAGTCGATTAAAAAAATAAAGTATTTTACAGTCCTAGTCATGTTTTTAAAAGAAATGTAGTTAACATGTACCATTCGGGTAGTCAACGATTTGTGCATAAGCACATAATGTATAAAATATATATGGGTTTTTTAATAATGTTTTAATATTACATTATTTGAACCGGCGTCAGGGGTGTAGTTGTTGGGCTCTTCACTGTCACTTTTAGGAGACCCTAGTTTGATTCCTGAGTGGGAAGAATTTTTAAGGAATATCTTGGTCTTTCTGCTGGGATGTCGTATCCTTCTCAACCCGGTTGGCCTTGACAGACAGGGTCGGAAGCCCGCCTCTTAAATGATCAAAATTGTGTTGATGAGGACGTAAAAACACCTGTATTTAAAAACGAAAGATTACTTCATTTGATTTGAACAAGAGACACTAGTTTAAATTTTCCCCTTACGCTTAAAGGTAAAGAGATTGCCCTGAAGATGTGGATCTGTTTAGAGTTTTGTTTACGAACAATGGTGATAGGATTTATGAACTATGACCTGCGCTGTTGCTTGTGGTGGTCTGACTTCGGTTGAAAATGAAAAGTCCCTGATACACTTTGTGTAACTGCCCGATGTCCCAGTGGTTTTATGTCCGTTTTATAATTGTAAGGTTGGAAGTGTTTTGCTTTTCCATACACAAATTTTATTTGGAAGGAGGTGCTCACATTATTTTTCTCAAGTGCCTGCCTTATGCCTGTGGTTACCTGTTGTTGATATGTGCATACATGTATGATATGTATGTGTCTCTGTAACGATGGACTAACCTACTAATCATTCCCTTGCTTTCCAGCCTTTCTCCTCATCTCTCAGTCCCATGTATTTGTTTCTGTGTGTGGGACGCGTGAGCTGTGACTGAGCAGTGGCCTGTATGTCAGGACCAGTGTAGCAGATGTGATTGTTTGTTTCTTCTGGTGGGCCGGCCACACTGTGTTGTCGTTGATCTGCAGAGCAATATTAAATCATATTGTAACTGAATACACTCTGAATTTGTTCACTTTATTTGTAGTTTTAAAACTTGAAAAGTCAAGATGCAATAAACTTGTTTTTTGTTTTTTTGACATTTAATTTATAATTTACATTCTTGGATTTGAAACAGGTGGTTAGAGTTGGAGAGTGCCACTGATAGTTTCTGTTTCTTTACTCTCCCTCGGCTGTTTCTGTCTCTCAATCTGTCTTGCTTTTTCCTAGCACTGAAATGATTGTCATTGTGTTGCTAATGTACTTCTTACTCTACCAGCCAAGGAATTTTGAATGGGGTGAGGGGTTCATTTTTGCTTGATTAATTTAATTTTAGCTGTTTTAAGGCAAATCAGAAAGCTTGGGAGTGTGTGTTTATGATGGTGTGATTTAGTGTTTCGAGGCCAGCGTGATTATAACGTGGCCGTTGCAGATGCTGGTAGGTTATCAAGTGCAATCTATTTGGTTATGAACTTGACCCACCTTAAGTTCAAGGTTGGATTCGGGACAGATTCTAAACTTTTGTTTTATTCCTTCCCTCAAATATTTTCTTTCTACCTTGGGAATGGTCTGTTCAGTATTCAGTGTCTTGTTGTAATTGTAAGGTGTTATGCCTCCACCTGAACACTGCAGCAGATTTGTTCAAACTTACTGTTCTTCAGTACATGTAGGTAGGACAATTTAAATTGGGGACTACTGAGGGAGAAAAAAGTTGAAATTGATTTGGCTTCCTCCGCACCCCCGAGACATGTTCAGCATCCTGTGGGTGTTCGAGAAAAAGTGATGCCAGTGGGTGCAAATAAAATACTTGTATAGCAGCAGCTGTAATAGTGGTTTAACCGGGGCTGGTATATTTGCGTCATACTGTTAGAGCTATCTGTAAATTCGAGTTTTGTGTGTTGGAGTTTCGTGTTCGACTGTATATTAATCCTTGAAGATGACTTCTCCAATATCAAAAGAATCCAATGAAACTTCTATCGTCCTTATCTCCCCTTCTTCTTTTTTATGTTCGTTACTCTCTTGTAACACCTCTAATCTTCTGGCGCTCATATGACCTTATAATGCAGTTGCGAGCGACATAAAACCTCAACTAAAAACAAAACAAAAAACCCAAACAAAATAAGACAGATGGTTGGTGGAGTGGAGGGTCCTACTAATTGTTTCTATCTCTGGCTTCCATTGGTTCCTCTTGCTTTTTCTTTGCACAAAATGAACGTCACTGTGTCGATGTGCTGTTTTGTTTGTTTTAGTAGAGGTTTTACGGCGCTCGCAACTGCATAAGGTCATATGAGTATGAGCGCCAGAAGATTAGAGGTCTTACAAGAGAGTAAAAAACATAACAAAGAAGAAGGGGAGATAAGGACGATAGATGTTTGATAGGAAAGAAGAAGCAGACCACACCAGAGCACCCGTCAACCACCCGCGTCGATGTGCTTCGCTTTCCTAAAAATATGGACAATATTATTGGCCATAGCTTGTTTTTGACCGGTTATGCAGGGCGTTCAAAACCTTTTGTATTTGTAGAGTGGAGGCCAGCGAGTTTCGTTCTTCCCAGAAGCTGATGGTTGTACTTGTAGGTAGACGCACTGATGTGGTCTGCTCTTCAACATCTTTTCAGCGTCATGTGCAATATTATGAATTGGCTCTCTGAGTATGTTATTTAGGTGTTACCATCAGTCTTTAATTTGTTCATAAATGTGGCCTTTATCAATCTTGCTGACTAACGGATGCGCTGTTTGCCCAGTCGGTATGTTGAGTTGTGGTGCAGACGACTGTGGTTCAAATCCCGAGTTCTAAGATTCTAAGTTAGACCACATATTATGGTCCTTGTGATGTCATGCGAGAAACTTTAATTTAAAATAAGAATGGGGAGGTCGAAATTTACTTTTTCGTACATTTTCATACTGTCTATATGTTCACTTTAGCGTGTGTATGGTTATTTGAAAGACGAACTGAGGCATGTACAGTGATACAAAGTTTGAGGAGTGTACATATCTTGAACTTCGTCTGTTTAGTAGGATTCTCAAGGTTCTCCTCTGTCCACCCACTTGGCTGCGTTCTATCGGAGATGGACGTTACATCCAGAGGTCCCGCCTCCTAAGTACTAAATAACCGCACAGTGTTGAAGTGAAGGGCTGATTGCAGAATTTATTGATCTGAACAAGATTTTTGCTGCGGCATGGTAAATACATACATGTTCATGCCATTCATACAATTACACGTACTCAACACACAATCACACACGCACACGCGCCCGCGCACACACACATACACACACACACACACACACACACATATAATATGCATACACTCAACACACACACACACAAACACACACACACACACACACACATGCATACTCTCAACACACAAACACACACTCATACACTCGACACACATACACACTCATTCGACAACCAGCACACATAAACATACGCTCTCTCTCT